CCCGATTCGTAACCACTATGCTACCAGAGAATAGTAGAGGTAAATAAATGCAAATAAAGGTAATTCATAGATAATAAATGGCAAAGGAGACTTTAATGTAGTTTAATACTATTTCTTAGAGGAAATCTGATAAATTATTAGGATTTCTAGTACATGACTGCATTCTAGGTCATGGGTAAAAAGGGAGCTACTAAATCCACACTCTCTATCTACTTTACTATGTTGCATATAACCAGCTGACATTTATTTAGCCAGATTGATACACACATCTTATGATAACCATGTAAAATATGCCCATTATTATCCCTATTTTACAAATGAGAAAGGTGAGATTTGGAAAGAGCTTAAGTAAAATCTGAATAGAAATGGAAAAAAGGGCACAGTACAAGAAGGGATTTGGAAAAATGAGAACACTGTTCTGGTTGACAGTACAAATTTGTAGAGGAAGTATCAAAATTGATACTAAGTTTTAAAGATTAGATGACTAAGAAAATAGATATATTATTTAATATTAACAATAAAAGCTTAATAGAAGGTTTAAAAAATGGACTACTTCAGATGTAGGCAAATGGGTTAGAGACAGAAAAGAGTATTACCGTCCCCAACCTAACATATATTTATTAATGAACTATTTTTATTGTAATTAATAAAAGAACAAGGATGATGCTACCTAAAATTTAATTTGTGGTTGTTCTAAATAAATTTTGTAGTGTTCTAGTTTTAAAATAATATATTTGAAACTTCAAAAATTTAGATTATTTATATTATTACACTAACGTCTAATTGATGAAAATAATACCCAGAGAAGTTTTTTTAACACAGAAATCAGATTGTTATGTAAATTGTATTTATGATTAAATATATTCAGGTTTTCATCTCCTTAATTCTAAATGTCTCTTTAGCTCAATCATTGAAACCAAGTACAAGAAGAAAGAAAGGGATAGAACTGGGAGATATTCAAAGTTCCATCGAATCTATAAAACAGACACAGGAAGAAATTAAAAGGTAACATATACTAACAGTGATAGTATAGTAGTTAAGAATCCTGTTACCAGGAAATCATTTGCTAATTTGACATTTCTGTAACATTGCTAAGGTATAAAACAGAATCTTAGTCTCTATCACCTGATGACTGAATCACAAAATTCATCTGAACACTAGCTTATTTTAAGGACTTTATTTATTTTTTGTTTTAACTCTCATTCACAGGGTAATGATTTCTGTAAAGGTAGAATTGGATTCTCTTTCTTATTGCTATAGAAATTGAATAGTCTTTCTTATTACTTATTACTGTAGAATTGGATTTTCCTATTACATCAGTAATAAGAGAGTCTTTATTACATGAGTAGTAAGAGAGTAATAAGGAGTCCTGGTGTGTACTGTGGGTTAGTGCACTGGACTGCAAAATCTGTTTGAACCCCAAGGTTGGTGGTTCAAACTCATCAGCTGTTCCATGGAAACCCTATACAAGGTTGCTATGGGTCAGAAATGATTTGACAGCACTTAACAACAACAATAAACATAATGTAAGCTCATTTAATAGTTAAAATAACATTTTACTTGTTTAGCATGTGAAATGCCTATAGAGAATACTGTAAGTTGTTGAGTGCCATCGAGTCAGTTCAGACTCATAACTACCCTGTATCAGTTTTCCAAGGAACATCTGGATATCATAAAATCTGTGGTGTTAATTCTTCCCCTTGGAGAATTTTTCTCCACCTCTATACCGATATCTTTATTTATTTAAAAATCTCAATGGGTCAACTAACAATGTTATTTTTGTTGTATTTTAAAACTGTTAGAAAAGGTGATGTGTTTCTTCATCATGTTTTAATCATTATTTGATGCATATTATTAAGTAATGTTTGATGCAGGATGCAGTATAAAAATAGATAAATAATGGTGGCTTCATATACCTGTCTGTTCAGGTTGTAATAATTGACTGAAGTAGTTAATGTAATTAAGTGTTTTATGACCATATAATAGCAAATTATGAATTCTGTGCTAACAGTTTTGACAAATCATTATAACATTTATTGCTTATTTTTGTAGAAATATTATGACTCTTCGAAATCATTTCGTTTCAAGCACACCTGCTACAGATTATTTTCTGCAACAAAAAGACTACTTCATCATTTTCCTACTGATTTTGCTTCAAGTAATAATAAACTTCATGTTTAAATAGAAGTTCTTTACAATTGAATCAATGAACTGGAATGATCAGATTTGGCCTGGGACCAATGTTCAAGTTTGGTTTGGTCTTTATTAAAACATCACAACATTTCTAAAACAAAAAACCTTAGAGTTCAATGTAGAGGTATTGACCTTTTATCCTTAACCTGAAACAAGAGCTATCATACTTGGTTACTAAATTGAGCTGTATGTTAAGTGCCAGAACATTTCTTGCTTTTGTGAGTGTGTCTACATGTGAATGTAATAAATCCACATGTATACACAGTTGTCTCTTATGTACTCTTATCTGGCAGTAGTCTTTGTATTCTATAGTACATTCTGAGATATATCGTTCACATTGCTCATACAAAGATGCTATCAATCTTATAAATAAATACATGTAATCTATTTTCTTCATAAAACAGGCACAGAACTTTTAATAAAGAATTACAGAATGAGTAGTAGACATAAATAATTCAGTATGCTGTACTGTTTTTTAAAAAATCATTTTCAAAGCATCCAGATAAATTGCCTAAAGACAGTGAGAAAAGAGTGTGACTGGTCAAAATTGATCTATCGAGAAAGATAGATGGCTAAATGTTTTTGAAAAAGTTTACACAGATTTTTTTTAATCTCTAGAATTTAATATTTATACATACAGATCAATGTTGGTATGTGTATATCAATGTAAAAAACTGGTATGAAGCTACATTGTTCTTTCTTATCATACTTATATGATACCATCTTAAAAACTTGCTAAAGAAAAGTATGAATGGTCAAAGTAGATTACTGGTCTCTTTTCTTAAGTCATCTGGTCTATAACATAGGTCATATTCTAGAGTAAGGCATAGAAAATGCTTATAATTCATATTTTCTCATTAACTGCTTATTTTCTCTCATTTGAATGTCAGTGTGTCAGTGGATAAGTAGAATAGAAAAAATCGTAGCCAATTTTTGTACTTCAAAAGCCAAAAAGAGAAAGGCGATAAGAAAAGACAGTTATTCCATGTGGTAGCATTTATTTATACAATATAATTGGTTTCTTAATATGTGCAATAAGTTGAGCATCTAAAAGAGTGTCGTGGTCATAAGTTTACTTCTTCCTTATCCCACTGTGTTCATTAAGTTCATTCTGTGACAAAACCACAGTGTTTCCTGATTCCTTTTGTTTAGGCACAGGCGACCTTTTTTCTAAAGATTATTTTGGGTTTTATTCTGTTTTTCAGATTGATATTTTGACTTTTTGTTTTTTACATAAATTTTTATAATCTTAAGAAGCAATTTTTGCAAATATAGTTAATTAGGAAGATAAACTATCTTATAATACTGAAAGTATTTGTTTTAAAATGGCTATTAATAAAAATTAAAGTCAAATAAAGAATAATGACTCTGGCCACATTTGCCTTTGACAGAAAAGAGACTGTGAAAAACTAGTAAAAATTACAGTCAATTGGGTTGCCATGATAAATATAAAATCAGATGATGATTGCTAAATTATGGAAATTAAATGTAATAAAAAGCCTCTTTTTTCCCTAACCAACATGGCAATCTTAGGTATAAAATTTATTTGACCCTTAGGCTTCAATGAAGAACTGTTGGCATCATATATTGTTGGCAAAACAATACTGTATTCCAGGTGTAGATTTGAAAATATTTTTAAGTTGATTAAAGCATAAATAAGATATACCTATATCCAGTATTTTTATGACTACAGTAGTAGGGGTGATTTTTTTGGTTGCATTTCATATTTTTGTTACTACAGTTTTTGTACTCACATTCTGTTACAAATGTACTACTCAACTGCATATTCATGATATATATTTTGTAAATATTGTACAACTAGATCTTTTCATGGTTTAAATTACTGTTAATTTATCTATATTATATATAACTTGATTGGCTGATCACAAAAATTATTTCATCATTACATCCATAAATTTTTTTTTGGTGGTGACCCACCTTGGGGTTTTGGTCTTACCTATGTATGTTGTTTTCATCATGTCCACATTGTGTTTTATTTGTACAACTGTCTTGTAAGACTGGAAAAGTAGTTATTTTCTTTATTGTTAATTTTCTTTTTAGGGCAGATGTTAGAATTCTTACTCAAGGAGTCAAAAACGATTTCATGAGGAAGAGTATGGTTACTGTTATGGATCGAATCATGCCCCCCAGAAATGTGTTGTAAATGCTAACCTTTATGGGGATGGTTATAATTCCATTTGGGAATGAGTTGTCTTTGTTGTGTTAATGAGGCTGGTTTTGTGTCGGCTGTATTTTGAGTCTATCTATTTTGAGATATAAAAGAGATTAATAGAAGTGAACAGAGCAGAGATGGGGGACAAGAGATGCCAAGCCACATGACGATTGCCCAGCAACAAAAACCTCAGAAGAGATCAAGAATTCCTCCAGAGAGGGAAGAAAGGCTTCCCCTAGAACCAGCACTCTCAATTTGGACTTTCAACCTCCTAAACTGTGAGAAAATAAATTTCTGTTTGTTATATCCACCCACTTGTGGTATTTCTGTTACAGCAACATTAGAGAACGAAGGCAGTTACTCATGACTGTTCCTTAGATACTAAAAGCACACATATAATCTGATTGTCTGCTTTTAGCTGTATGAGTTCCTGTGAACTGAACACAAAACTCAGGAATTGGTGGTTTTGCTACAGATTAATGCTCATTGCTTATAATAAGTTTAGGATTTGAATCCTTTAAAATACATCATTAATTTTGTATTTAGCCATAATATGTAATTGACTTTGAATTTTTTTACCTGGGATTAATCTTTCTTCATACATGAATTCATCAAAATTATTTGAGTTGTTTGAGGCCCAGGATGATTCCAAGTATTTAAGACCTTATGCCCAGTTTTTGTTTTTTTTTCCTTTGATCACATTTTATTTTCTCACTTGAAAATTTACTTAATTATTGACATGGGAATTTTCCTTCTTAGCTGTTAAATGTACTGTGCCTTCATTTATTCACTATTTAATGAGATGTAACTCTAGATGTAGGAAAAGATAATAGGGCATGTGAATTGTTAAGTAAGTTTCAGCAATAGACATTTTTCTTGTCTTTCATGTCACTATTTTTGTATCACTTATAAAAAAGTACCATGTAATCTTTGTCATAGCTTTAAATCAGCCACTTCATTCCATTGAAAATTTGGACTTGTAAAATACAACCTTCATGTAGTATTCATGCTTTTGTGCCTTTAAGAAAATCTTTGTCACTTTTATGTTACAAAACTTTAATATGATTCAAATTGTTCATAGGCTTGTCATAAGAGTGTCATTTCTTTGTGTTACTTTATTTCCTTTTATATAGCAAACAATAATGCTGTACTTTTATATGGGTTTGTTTACTTGCCGATTTCAAATATATTCTCCACTCTCAGACATCATTGAAATAGACTTGTCAGATTCTCTGAGTATTGTAAACAGTGCCTTTTCAATGGAATTCACTGTTTTGGGCATCAACTTGTGCCATATACACAAAATTTTGTGGGAGGAAGTTTTAACTTTTTGAAGAATATCTTAGATATTTAAGAAAACAAATGTTTAAAATTCACTTTTTCCGGTGTTTAACATTTATTGTAAATCAACAACGAATACATTTTTGGTTTGGGTTTGGAATGTAGTGATGACGGCCTTATTGATGAGTCATATGACACTAAAGATCACTGCAGATCATTTCAATTATGTTAAATGTACAGAAATAAAATGTTAAACTTAAAATTTATACTAAACTTTTCATTTTGAACCAATAGGGGAAAATCCCACAGAAACCAATACATTTGCATTTAAATATCATATTTGATTAAGTAGAAAATACATTCTTTAAAATGTGTATATAACCTGTCACTATTATGTAATTTGATTTCATTTGGTTCTACTTACAGTGTGAATTTAACATACTTAATTTACCCTTTAAATTTTAACATACTGTGTTTGTTAATTTTTAATTGAAGATTGACTGTTAAAATTATATAGGACAAGTTTCTCCTTAATGAGATTTTGACATATTTATAAGAGCCACAAGAAATTTATGACAAAATGAATGTGAATATACTTGCTCAAACATTTAAAATTTTTTCTTTTAATTTATCAAAATTAGTTTAGCATAATACTAAAAATTTTCATTTAAGGGAAATGTTTGAACTGAAGAGCCACGGATTTTTAGTTGATTCTTTTTTCCACTTTTTTTAGCATGCTAATTATATAAAACCCACTGCCATTAAGTTATTTCCATCTCATAGTGACCCTATAGGACAACTGCTTCCTATGGTTTCTGAGACTAAGAGTGGACAGACCTATGCTTCTCCCAAGGAATGGCTGGTGGATTTGAACTGCTGACCTTGCAGTTAATAGTCCAGATGCTTACTCCACTGTGCCACCAGGGATAACTGTATATTTAAGTTAAACCTTCTGGTTAGTGGCCATTTATAAACTCAAGCACTACCACTGTTCAGTTTTGTATGAAATAGAAGTATGTTATCTACATTGTAAGTGTAGCACACTTACAAACTCTTTTCCCTAAGGTGCATAGTAAATGTACGGTAGTCATAGGTTCCTGTTTTGTAATGTATTACATTTCTAATCTATTGTTCCTAACCTATTATAAATGTTTGCAGAGATGAAATGAATTTTTAATGAACTGTATAATTATGCTGAGTTCTAGAAGTAGATATTCTAAATAAAAACTTAAAAACAGATCTAAAAGACCACTGAATGTAACATATGGTGACTAAATTATATTG